ACAAATCAAAGAGCTTTTATCTAGTAGCTTGTATAATAAGATGGCTTTATCTTAGCAGATTGTTCTCACTTTGTTTCGCTTAAATAATTGCCTCCATTTTCATGTCTTTCCTGCTGCAGAAGCTGAGTTCGTGGCTCAAATACACTCACATCTTTGTGACACAGCAAATAAGAAGAAACAGCACTATGGTGAGTTCAACCTGACATCCCTCTGGGAAAAAAAACAAAAAAACAAAACTCACAAAGATCTTCCATTTTTGTGTCAAAACTTTAAAAGCTTGTCACCTTGCCTTTTTTAAAAACTGATTCAGTGTGTGTTGTAACAAAGGTACGTAGACCAAAGAAGAAAAATAGCTCCTTTCACTCCCATCACATGCTATCCCCCTTGTTTAAAAAAAACACCAGAAAAGATAACCAGAAAATACCCAAATGACCCTTCAATATTACATTCTGGAAAACAAATGACAGTCCCACTGGTATGGCTTTGTTCTCCTATCCCAACCTGCTTTTTCTATATTGGATATCTGTCTGTTCTTTTGTTTCATGTGCATCTTTTTGCTGTATCTCACAGAGAGCTGCTCAGAGGAGGCGGCGCACACTGCAGTCAGAACACTAATAGACCTGGGGGTGAGTGACAGCGTGTGTGTGTGTGTGTGTGTGTCCCCAAATCTGCCTGTCTGCCAGGAATTATAGCTCCACTCAGGACTAAAGTTGAGGTGCAATCCAACTCTCAAAAAGTTGACTTCTAATGTGAATCCTGGAATCCAGCCCAAATCTCCAAATCACTATTAATCAATCAAACTGGTGGCATTTTTCAGTAGCTGTGAACAGAAACCTGATGTTTGGTGCAATAGGAAGACTCCCTGGCTGGAACCAACCAAATCCAATCATGTAGGAGGCAGAAATGTCAGTTCATAAAGAGAATTCACTGAGCCAAAGACATGAGTTATTTAAAATTAGAAAATGGAAAAAAGTAGCGCAGACAGGTTGAGGTCTCTTAGCTGTGACAAAGTGGTTTACATTTGACATTCAGGTCTTTAACCTTTCCCACCCCAGAAGTCCCTGTGCCGGTGCCATTTTTCAAAGGTTGCCAAGCATGAGGCCAGCTAGTACTTCACTGTATAAGAGAAATGATTTGTGTTGAGCTCCGTTGATGTTTCATCAGATTTGGTAGGGTTGCACTGAGAAGTTTTAAAGCAGCATTTACACATGAGATCAGTGTTTACAGTCCCATATTTTTAAGGCTCTAATAAACTCTCTAATTCACAGTTGGAAGTAAAATGATCGATAGAACAATCAATAATAGTGTCTCATTATAACCTCACTGTTTTAAATGAACCTGTAATGCTGTTATCACAGTCTATTTCTGTTTTTACATTTTCTCTCATTCTAAGTTTGGACTAAAGATTAAAACATCTTTCGATCTCTGTAGATGTGCTGCAGTTCACCTTCTACGTGGAAAAGGCTCCTCTAAATGTTGGTTGGTTGGGATCAATGATGCATCACTCTAATCCTTCCATCTCAAAACTTCAAATATTGTAATTTTTACTTCACTGCATTCATTTCACAGCTGCAGTTCCTTGAGACTTTACACGCTAAATATATGACCCCCTTATAAAAAGTGATTTGTGATTATAGGTTTTTCTACCCGGAAGAATTTAAAACTACTTGACTCCTTTCAGTAATAAGAACGTAACCTTGAAAGAGCCACATGTTGCGGAGTGAAGGAGTTATATGCGGAATAGGACTTATTTTAACAACGAAGTATTGTTTTGATTTTACTGAAGGATATTATGCTGCATATTTTGCTAGAGCGTACGAGGCAACAAAACTTGTTTTTTTGAGGAATCTTCTGTTGCACATTTCTCTTTCTTCCCGTTGGGTGTGAGATGACCTGATATGAAAGCACTCCACCAGGGCACAGTGAACTCTGGATTAAACAGAAACTTTGATGAGACTGGATAAAGGCCTCATGTATATTGTTGATAGATTATCATGCCGCTGCAGCTTTCAAGTCTGCGGATGTTTGTTTTTTTTCCTTTCTTTTCATAAAATGAAAGTTGGAACGCAGCAAATGGTTTGTCTTGCAGAAGAATATGAGCCTCTCTTATCTCCATCTGCTCTGATTCTGTAAACAGCAGCAGGGAATATTGAAGAGAAAGAAGGGCACCAACTTAAATGCCGAAATCTAAACAGAAACGCAGGATTTTCCAGAATGATTTATTGTGTAGCTTTTGTTTAGTGTCAGTTTTATTCATGTAAAGGAGTAAAAAGCACAGTATAAATGAATGTTACTTACTTTTACCTATTGTCGTAGGAGGTATGATTTTCAGAAGAAAGAGCAAAGAAGCAACATTTTTATCCCTACTCTACCACTTCACCAGCCTTCCAACTCGGCAGGCAAAGTGTCTGCTCCCATCTTCTCTTTCAGTCTGCGGGTTGGGAATCGCGGTCTTTTTAAAAATAGAGCATCATTGACCCATTTATCTGCAAACATCTCAAGAGGCAATTATTAAGTTTATTATTGAGGTTATCAGTCAGAAATGGTCCTCATCTTCATCTTAAGCCTCCGATGGTAAGGCAGGGGGAATTCTAAGATCTCCAAGTTGAAGCAAACAGGAAATGTGCTTCTAGTTTTTAGGAAACTTTAAAAGAAAAAGGAAGGACAACACAATCTTAAGTATGCCTCTTTCATTTGGCCTCATTATTTCAGACCTTGCTAAGTAAATTAGGTGATGCTGTTTATGTGAAATCTGTAGCTTTGTTTTTCTCTTTCATTTTTGAGGCGTTGTTGCTTTGGGAGCTTTTTGTTTTTATCTGTCTTATTACCTCACTGTTTTTTATTCAGCCTTGTGCAGGAAGCGCTTTGATGAAGATAAGAAAAAAGCTGCACACTCACTTTGTTCAAATAAAGGTTACTAAATAATAAGCACTGTGGTTGCGATGCTACTAACGTGTCTGTGTTTCTGCTCGTTATTTTCAATTCAGGTTCTCTTGGAGGAGTGGCAGAAGGAAGGCGTCTTCCTGGCTGTTAGTCCTTTGTTCCAGTTGTCAGAAAACAGGCAGAAACTGCACCGCTTCATCTCTCAGTACCTCTACAATTAATACATTTAACTGAGCAGCATGACTCAAGGCTTCAACGCGGCTTTGTTTTCTTGCAGAGTCTGACCTCATCCTCTGTTTGTATCAAGGAAGCCTGTGTTCAGTTAAAACAGATGCATGCTGAGCCAGGACGCTGGTGTCTTTAGGTTAATTGCATTTTGATTTTTCAGTGATGAGACATTGATTTTAAGTTTATCTTTAGTAATAGCATTTGCATAAAGCCGCAGGAGAGGAGGATTATTAAGTCCCTGTAATCAGTTGTGAGGACTCGCTGTAGGATGACGCTCGTTGGTACAGTTTGCGCATCCATGCATGTTTATGTTGTAACGATGGATGCATCAAGTTTTGTCTGTTCCATGAGAAAATGTTTGTTTGGTTCTTTATACTCAAATAAAAGTTCCTGTGTCATCATGACTTAAACAAAAGCGCAAAAAGTTCACTGTGTACAAACTAAACCAACTACAGCCCTTTAAAGTAGTTTATTAGTTATTAGTTAGTCTCTTGCACACAGCCATGGTTCTGAGCTGCTCTCCTTCTGGACGTAGATCATTCAGTGCTGAGTCAGACCTCTAGAGAGCCTGTATGTCTCACGTAGACCTTTCTGACATAAAGATGCAGAGACAAATCGATGGCTTGCTTTAATTTAACTTGGAGGCCTATGTATTTTGGCGTTCACAGCTGACTGTTTGTACAGTCACATGCCAGTGCAGCTGTTTTTACTCCTTCAGCGAGCACAGACCACAGCCGCAGTGGTTGAGCTGCCTTCGGCCGTGAGAATCTACTGCCACCCAGTGTTGAGCTGAGGATACTGAGTCCTAAATAGTTGTGGAACTGGCCTGTAGCCATGGCCCACTCGGAACAGAAATTAAATTAGGTTTGCGTTTGAGTATCTGTTTAAGAGCAGCTACCGAGACTTAAAACAGAGGATTTGCATAATAAGAAATGTGAGTTTTGAGGACTGTTTTCCATGTGAGCTGCTCTCACGTGGAAAAAAGAAAATCATGAACACCTTTAAAAACAAACAAAAAACAGGATAGGGATTGATTGGCTGTGGCATTTTAAAGTCGCAATTCAGACGATGCAAAATACTTTTTTTCTGAGTTATTATAATTATTATACAGTTGCCAGTGGGGGTGAACTAATTTAGCATTTTTTCCATTAATTTCTGTGAATATGTAAGTCTGATTTCATATTTGAGGCATTCCTTTAGTCTTCACAATAAAAAAACTAGAAGAGTGCTGAAGATTCCCTCTGCACTGCGCATGAAGCGAGGCTGTGGATCCAGAATAGATGGATCTGGGTTAGTTTGTTTTCTCAAGAACTTCAAACAGTGTCTCCAAAATTTCCTTTAAAGGGTCCTTCCAGAAACTCGTGAATCCAGATTTGGATCCAGATTAACTCCAAAGGTTCATCTTGGGCCAATCCCCGCCTTCAGTAAACACTTTCATGCAGATCTTTTCATAACTTGTTTAGTAATCCTCTTGGCAAACAGACAAACCAAACTAATCACATAACATCCTTGGATGAGGTGAAAATCTCCTCTGTGACTCGTGAAGATTGCCTGAAGCTGAGTTTTTTTGTAGGGTATTTTAAGGTTGTCGAGACACTGAGCTGCAAAGCACTCCACTTTGCACCATATATGTTCAACAAAAAGCTAACTGATCTTAAACTGGAGCAGTTTACAAATTATAAGGGATACAGTGGTCGAAACGTAGCTGCCAGTTTGAGGATGTCAACATGTCACACTGCTGCAAATTGTAAACAAGTACACTGAATCCATCCTTGAAGCTCTCTGTCAGACATTTATATTTAAAAGCTACTACATGAGTCAAAACACAGACTGAAGTAATTAGAGAGATTTTCTCCCGGGCAGTAAAAAAAACCAACACCACACAGTTGGAAAGCAGCATTTTTTTAATTTCATTAATTTCCACACATCTAGTAATCTGTTTTCCTTCTTTTATGGGAAAGATGATGTTCTTTCACTTCTGACTGAAGTTTTATATGCAGTCTTTGATCCTGAATATTAATCATAATTAGAAATACTTTTTACGTCAGTGTCAAAATATTTTTTTATTTTCACATAAAAAGAAAAATCAGTAGGTTCACGGTTTCTTCTGCACAGCACGAGTGGGCGGCTGCTGACGGAGGGTATTTTTTACAGCTCGTGATGACTCTGAGGTTGAGTCACATAATTACTCTGTTTTGTGTAGTAAAAGAAAATAACACATTTTCTCTCCTCACAATTACTGAAGTATCATGAATAAAACATTCATCAGGCAGTTTTACATATCTCCTGATGGTTTTTTCACATTATGTAAAAGGGGGGAAAAAACTATTTGAATAGTAATTCATTGTGAGGAGCGGGTGATCAGAAGGTGCAGTTCAGCGGCTGATGTTCATTCATGGATTCTCTTCTCAGGGTTCACACCACTTTGTTGATTATAGAACCTAATTGTTCTATCTGGCACTCCACCACGTCCCCTTTCTGGAAGAAAAAAATGTTTTAACACTTAATTAAAACAACACATTTCAAATCACTGCCTTATTATCTGTTAGTAATTAATGGGGGAAAGGACAATGTAGTCATTTTATGCCTCTTTTCAGCTACATTTTTTAAATTCTTTGCCTCTACTAAAGTGGCTTTGCATTGTTTCACAGTTTAATTTTTGTTTTCTGTTTTAGCTTCTTTCTCCAGGAAGAGCCTTGCAGCAATATAACAATCGCAAAATGTCAATGAAATTAAGCGACTTGCAGCAACAACAGAAAAAATAAGTATTAGCAATGCTAAGTAGGCAGGTCCTGAGCTGGCTCAGCTTTGCTGGCCTCACATCCAAAACCACTGCTTCTCATATTAGGGAGTGGCATGTTCATTAGATGGTTACCTAGGCAACCAGAGCCTGGAATGGCCATTAGTGACCGACTGTCGTCTACAATCTATTTATGTGTGACCTAAGGCTTTATTCTGATTGGCTGGCCTTTGTAAACCGAAGGTTTGAACAGGAGATGTGTGGAGATTCTGTGCTCACATGTGGAAAAGAAAGTCATCACAGGAGACTTTCTTTTCCACGTGACTGTAAGCGCCTGAGATGACCACATTAACCCTCTGAGGTCTTAAATCATCATCAGTTTCAACCCTCAAATTTAACCTGAAGCCAAATTGTCAACTTAAGTACTCTGAAAGAGCCATTTTTTCTTTCTTCACCCCTCAGCTGTATGGCTCATGCTGTATTACCAACGCCCCACAGGATGAGCAGGTGTCATGGACACGCATGTTTGTTAATGCGATGACTCGAGAACGAGGCGACGTAGGAGTTGGAAATTGATACCGTAGTGTTTTATTAAATTATTCTCCTAAATCTTGGCAATAAGGGAACAAATAAAACAAGAGCACTCAGAGAGCACAACTGCCCCCAAAGGGCAAATGCTATACTACAACTTTGATGTTTTATTATGTTTTTATTACAAAATGATGTCAGCCTGTTATATTATCATTGTGACATCGTAGGATGTTATTGAAAAAATAAAAAGTGTGTTATACAGCTCCCTCTATGCCCTTTCACGTGATATGTTACTCATATTATTTATATGATTTCTTGAAAAATATTTTCACGGTCAAATACTTATTCAACCTAGGTACTCATGACCCCCAAGGCCTGGTATATTGTAAAAAATTAAATAAAAAATTGTGGGTAACACAATTTTCTTTACAGATTTTCACATTTGGTCTGACATTGACCTTTGTTTCCAAAACCTAGAGATAAGGTCGAGTCATCACCTCTGATTACTTGAGCCCTGCATATAACTTTGTTGCTGATGGTTAGTTGTGAGCAACCTTCCTAACCCTCTAATGCAGGAGTGTTGAACTACAGTCCTCGAGGGCCAGTGTCCTAAAACTTTTCTGTCTCTGCTGCAACACACCTGAATAAAATTAGTAGGTCATTAGCAAGACTCTATAGTCTTGAACTCATGCTGAGGTGGCAACCCCTAACCCTACTCAAGCAAATTTATATATATGTAAGTGTTTGGAAAAATGTACTTCAAAAAGTGCTTTTATTGCACCAGGTTCATTCACTCAAGAGCTGCTGTAGCATGAATCAAATGGCTGAATTGCTGCTTCAGCATGCAATCAAGTTCAAGAGTCTTGCTAATGATCTACTAAATTTATTCAGGTGTGTTGCAGCAGGGATGCATGTAAAGGTTTCAGGACACTGGCCCTCGAGTGACTGGAGTTGACACCTGTGCTCTAATTTAGTACCCTGTCAATCATCTGTATCCTGTACTTATTGGTGATCATTTCATGAACTGGGCTCAAAAGTTCTTGAATGTCACAGACTTTCTACAATCTCTGGTTTCAATATTGCTGCCACTTCTTGGGTGAGACTTTGAGGGTTAACAAGCCTTCTTTGATACCATACAGAGATAAGAATAGAAGGGAAAAAGCAGTCTGATAGATATTACCTGTGCAAACACCAACCTCATTATTCAATACTTTTACCATGTTTGATAGAGGCATAAACCACATTGGTAACAACGGATAGAAACAAAGGAAACCCAGAATAGGTCCTCTTTAACTCTGTGACCTTAAGTTTCTTTGGATAAAGTAAAAGTAAAGCTGGAGCTGCACAAAACATGTCCAGACCAGCTGTACATGCTGCGAATTCACTTTTGTCAGACTATAAAATCACCTTGAGAAAGATGGGCGGCTTTCTAAATGCACCCACGCCTGGAGGAGTTCCTGTCAGAAACACATCGCCTGGAATCAATGTCACAAACCTATCAGGAGGGGAAAAAGCACAGAGTGGAATATCAGAAGAATACCATCACTTCAGCGAATTAGGATTTTCTTTCTCGTCGTCGCGCAGTATAATTTCAGTATTAATTTAGATTAAGCCGGAGCATGCGAAACAATATCTCCCACAGATTATTCCGCTGTCTGCACAGATCCTGTGAAAGGTGCTGTGGGCTGCCATTATTAAGAGAATAACACAGGCATTATCACCAGTAAGCTGAGCGAGAGTGGGAGAGGCGTTGTCGTCTTAAAATCTCAAATCAGATCAGAGAACGCTCCAGCCGGTCAGGGTGCCGGTTGGGGTGGATAAGTCTTAAATGAAGCGTGTAATTTTAGCTCAGAGTCGGCAACTTTTTGTGGCTTCATTTCTTAACTTCCTGGAATCTGAACTCTCAGCTTGAGTTACTCAAATAGAAAAGAGTACTTTGTTATGTATACGAGTACATAAACACACAGTATCTGAACTTCTCAACATTTACGGAACTTACTTTGAGACCCAAGCGACAAGCGCTGCTGTCTTGAAGATGATCTGATCCGTGTTGCTGTTCTGGACCGTGTCTCCATTAACCAGGCAGCGGATACTCAAGTTATGAGGATCTGAAGGAGAAATGACACATGAAGTAGTTTCCTACTTGTGACTTTAGGCCTAAAGATAGGTGACAAATTTGTAGGGAAATCATTTTATTATTTTAAAGAAGCTGGTGGAAAGTAGTCTAAACAAATTTATTAGACCACCCATCATGAACACACTACTATTATTTTTTCAAGAGTACATCTGCATCGTGGATAACAACAGTTTATGTTTTAGCATTTAAATATAATTTCTGACCTGTAGACAGGGGCACTGTCTTTTCAACAGTGCACTATAGGATACATGTGATCACTCAGAACTTTCTTCTGTGCAGTGATGTTTACACAGACCAAAAACATGCATTCAAAATGCCCCCGACAGCATAACACAGCCACCACATCCTCTCCCTGCAGGGGGGTCAAGCATCTAGGCTTTTCCTTTAAATTGTCACCCATCCGTAGAGGGTTTTAATTGCTCAGCTGCCTCTGGTTTACCTGCACGCAAATAACCAAAGTAAGAGGACAGCGACACTTGTGGAGGGTAATTACTAATAATAAAAATGATGTAATTATCATTTTCAAACAGGCACACAAGCACACTCAACCTTTAAACAGCAATTTTCATTCTAACTAAACTTAGACTGACGTGGTCTTTGACAGCGACGGTGTTGAATAATTTTTCAAGTGTGTTGTATAAAAGAAAAGCCTCGTCTCTCTGAAGAGGACATGTCAGCACAGCTTAGTTTTGCAAAGTTGCATCTGAACAATAAACAAAAAACTTCTGAAACAATGTCCAGATGAGACAAAAGTGGAGACATCTGGCTGTAATGCACAGTACCATGTTTGGTAAAAATCATCAGCACCCTGTAAACTATGGTGATGGAGGGGTGATGATCTGGGCTTGTGGTCCATCCGGAGGCTATTTAAATGTCACCTTCCGTAGACGTGGGCACGCTGCTACCCTGCTCTGCTCCTGCACCATCTCCACATCACATCACAACGTTTGGTTATTTTGTTCTCCCCCGAAAAAAGTGAGAATGTCATCAGTTCTGATTGTTTGTTTGTCTCTTTGTTAGCAGTCTAGCATCCACAGTTCTCAAGAAATTATCTGTGAATGTAGCGCCAATGAGAGCTCGAGCTGATTTAACTTTGATGGATTTTGGTCACAACAAATGTGAAAAATCTGTAAAACCTCCAATATTACAGTTTAGCCCTCATACTCGCTGAGTGGTCATTTTAGCTGCGATTCACACATACAACATCTGCCATACGGACTGCTTTACAGCACTTATGTGGATTTACATCTTTACTGTTGAGTTCAATAAAT